AATGTTTTTAAAAAACACCGGTAAAATAAAAAAAAAAAAAAAAGAACAAAACAAACAAAATTAAAAGAGGCACGTTTAGTTATATGTCAATTGTTCTCAATTATTGTATTTTCTGTGTCTTTTTAGTTATGGTGTGCTCAATTATTCTGTGTCTTTTTAGTTATATGTCATGTACCACTACAAGAGGCACGTTTTTCTTAGGAGCAGAATTGTTTGGGAAACTAGGTTAAAAGTTGATTTTTTTGAATTTTTTTTTATAAAAATAAAAAAAAAAAGAATAGAAAAGTGATGTAACCTAAAAAGAAATTAAAAAACTAATTTTTAGCCGAGTTTTCGAAAGGCCGCACGACACGACATCAATGTAAAGTCCATTTTCATAATAGATGGGAGTCTGATTATATCTATCACAGTTTTATGCAATAATTTTATTGTATGAATAAAGCTTGGGACCCCCAATGGGGGTGCTGGGGGTCGTTTCTCATTGGTTGAAAAAACTGTTTTTTTTTTTTTTTTTGTAGAGTCATATTTTAAGTTATAAGTTTTGAAAAGAAAAAATTTGTTTGGTTATAAGTTTTGAATTTTTTTGAATTTATTTTTTTAAGGTAAATATTTCATATTTTAAATATTTTTTTATTTATTTTAATGTGCATTATATTTCATACATTTATGTGTTGTATTTTTTTTTAAATTTTAAATAGAGATTTTTTTAAGATCCATGATATTAAGATTTTATAACATAAAGGACACCCAATATTTTCATAATGTCTAAGGTTCCTCCACATCAATCCAGAGAATTTTTCTGGACATCTCAGAGAAATTCTCTCCAGAAATCTATAGAAAATTTAAACATCCAGTGAAAATTCAGATTGTCCAAAAAAAATTTAGACATCCAGAGAAAATTCAGATAGTTAAGAGAAAATTCACACAATCCAGGAAACGCTGCATCATCGTACATTTTATATGTTCTCTTATAAATATATTTTCATGGAGGGTTGCCATCAAAATTTTGTTTGGTAATCCGAATGCTCCTTGCAGGTCAAGTCCAACAAGATGAGGTGGTTGGCAGACAAGAAAGAGAAGAAGTCATTGGGTAAGCTTGAACAAGAATTTCTTCAGGCACTACAAGTAACAAAATAGATTATTTTTAGTTTGTTTTGTTTTGTTTTTTTAAATATACAAATTTATTGTGGCTTAGAATTCTGCTCAGACTACGGTTCTACAGTGATTAATATACTTCTGATTGTCCTACTGATTGTAGAATCAAAAGTATTATGCAACGTTCTAGATTTTGGAAAAAAAAGAATAATGATCCAGAGAAAATTCACACATCCAGAAAAAATTCACAAGCCCAGAGAAAATTTACAGTCCAAAGAAAATTTACATAGTCCAAAGAAAAATCACACAGTCCAAAGAAAATTCAATCTGATTTCCTCACATACTTGACATGATTGATATTTCTTTCATATCTGTTCACCTTTCAATTAAAAAATCTGCAATATAAATTTGGGTCTTGGATGTCTCATTTTTTGTAGATAATATAAAATTCATCAAAGTAAATAAAGAAGCAGAAAGCTATTGGCATGAGAAAGCTTTGTACCTACATGCTATGTATATATTGAGAAAGTTGTTTTTTGTTTCTGCATGATTTGCAGTCCCAGAACCCTAGCTGGACACATATGTCATCTGTAGATTTTGGGAAAAAAAGAGTAATGATCTAGAGAAAATGCACACATCCAGAGAAAATTCACAGTCTAGAGAAAATTCACACATTCAATGAAAATTTACACAGTCCAGAGAAAAATCACACAGTCCAGAGAAAATTCAATCTAATTTCCTTACATACTTGACATGATTTGAACAACATAATTGATATTACTTTCATGTCTGTTCACCTTTCAATTAAAAAATATGTAATATAAATTTGGGATCTTGGATGTCTCATTTTTTGTTGATAATATGACATTCATCAAGTAAATAAAGAAACAGAAAGCTATTGGCATGGGAAAGCTTTGTACTTGCATGCTATGTATATATTGAGAAAGTTGCTTTTTGTTTCTGCATGATTTGCAGTCCCAGAACCCCAACTGGACACATATGTCATCTATAGAGCAAAGAGGTTCAGAACCAGAAAACTTGTTAGGCCAAGTCCTCGGTGACATTTGAAATTTCAGTATTTGGATTCGAAGAAGACACATTCTTGACTTCAATCTTCGGATCTCTGGAAATGTTTGCAAATTCTACACTGCTCGAGGCTCAGATTGTTGTGGTCCAGCTCAGATCACGATATTTCGACGATGGCGTGGTAGAGACAAAGGCAAAGGTGAAGCCGGCGGCATCAGAGATGAAGATCGAGAGAGGAGAAAGGAGCAGAGAGAAAGAAATGTGCACAAAGAAAGAGGGTTTGGTTTGGGTAGAATGAAGATCGAAAAGAGAGAGAGAGTGTCAAATTTTTTTGATTTGATATACGGGTATGGGTTTAGGGACCTTAGACATCAAAATATAATATTATGGATCTCTTCCATTACTAAAAATGGGAAAATGACCTTAGTCTAATTTTCTCTTTTAAATATATTTTTTAAATATTAAAAAATTAAAAAAATTTGTTTTTTATTTTAAATATATAATTTTTATTATAAATATTTTATTTTATTTCATAAATATTTTAATTTTTTTTGTTATGTGTTTGGTTATGATTTGAGTGTAGAGTTTTGAAAGTAGTGTAGAGTTTCGACTTATGTGTTTGTTTATGAGGTTTGAAAATAATTTTTTAATTGAGTTTTGAGTTATGTGTTTGGTTAAAATATGAGTGTGGAATTGTGTTTTAAGCTTGAAATATTAAAATTAAAAAAATTAAAATATTTACACAATGAAATAAAATATTTAAAATAAAAAAAATAAAATTTTCTTAAACATTTTTCAATATTTTAAAAAAATAAATCCAAAAATACTGTTTCAAATGCGGTTTGTTTCTTCCAAACCTGTCCTCCAATCCAAAAATATTTTTTAATATTTTAAAAGGAAGGGTAATAAGGTCATTTACTATAGAAAAAGTAACACCGTTTGTTCGAATTTGATAGAAGGGGAGAATGTGGAGAATGTCAGGTAAAGTATGGAAAGTTACTGTAATTATTGAAACTACAGGGCAAGTCATTGTATTTGTCAGAAACCTCAGGGGAGGTCAGTGTAATTTACCCTAAATTCTATATTTTGGGTTATCATAATAATAACTTTCAATGATCATTGATTTATAACAGTAAATGATGATTTTTATTTATAATTTATTTTTCATTAGTTTTTAGTAAACTGAATGTGAGAATGGATATTCTAATAAAATGATTAATTCGTTCCATCTTCATTTCAACAAGAACAACACTTAGGATGGAATGATTAATTCGTTCCATCTTCATTTCAACAAGAACAACACTTAGGATGGTTTTATGGATCTAAAATTTGAACATTAGTTAATAGTTATAGGAGTAATTGGACACCCACATATTCTGGGTATAACTGGAACACCTGTACCCATTACATTAAATACATTTATTTTAGAATTATAAGGGCATGCATGACTTGTTTCTTATCCTGTTTAGGACATCATGAGGACACCATCCCCTGTGGACAAGAATTGGGTTAGGTTAATGGGGAACAATTAGCACTACTCTATACTGGCAGCTGGCCTTACCAGTTACCCCTTATTGAGGCCTCATTGTTTGTCTTATTAAAGAAGTTTTGGTAACTATTTATAATATTTAAAACATGAAACAACAACAACAACATGTATAATAATAGTATTGAGTAGCCTAGGATGCTCTTAATCTTCTGATTGTTGGGGTGTCAACCCAACCCACACTATATTGTTGTTATTAACAACAATGTAATGTGACCCTTGTATTTAAGTGAAACTGTGAGATCATGAGATTATCAACTATACAGTGATTGATTCATTTGTCTTGGTAATTTCAAGAACTATAAGAAGCTTTTTATAAGCCAGATTGTCTTGGTTCAAATCCCATTTTCTATTAGAACTGTGTTTGGATTTACTGATTTGGGAATAAAAGAAAAGAAATGCATTTATCTAGTTCGTATTACATTTTTGGGTAAATAACGAGGAGAGAAATGGATAGTGATTCTCTCAAATGCATATTTGTAATGGAGAGGTTCTGTTATATGATTTAACGGTGAGTGTAATGATCTTTTTTAATTTAAACTAATTATAAATTTTAATTTCTGTTTCATAAATGGAATCTTTCCATTATGGAGAGGATCAAAATCCAAGAGAAATTGAGTGAGATGAGAAAAAATTGAAAGAAGCCCATTTTTGTTACAACCATCTTTTTGAATCTCTCCAAAATGAAGTGATTGGGGGAGAAAAACAAACCACCAAATTTCAATTTCTTCATATAATGCCCAACTGTCCCTTAAATATAGAAGAATTTAAAGAACTGACACCTATACAAAGTTATTTTGATAAAACAACATGAAATTATTTATTTATTTTATGTAGTTTAACAAAACAAGATAGGAGAGAAAAAACCTTTCTTTTATTTTTTCTTCTTTTCTCTCATGTCTTATGTAAAACCTTTCTTTTATTTTTTCTCCTACATTCCCAAACAGAGCGAGAGTGTCAAAAACAAACTTTAGTCACTGGATTAAAAACTAATTATACTGTGATTTTATTATTCATTTCCCCCTTTTTCTTTTGGATTAATTAGATGGGCACTCTTTAATTATCACTAAATATCACTTCATCCCTCAACTATGAAACTATATACTTGGAGTCCTCAATTATAAAATTGTACAATTGGGTAAATTTCAATATTTTTCTTTTAATATGTCTAATGTACAAAAATACTACGTACACAAAAATAAATGGATGTGAACTAATGAAAGGGTCTGTAGTTGGTTCTATAATTAATTTATGTATCTGTAAACTTATTGATTAACTAATGACCTTGAAATTTGTATTGAGGTGTCTTGAACTCTTTTATTTGACAGGACACCTTGTACCTTTGCTTCATGGGTCTTTGATACCTCCACAAATTTCTCATCTTGGAAGTTCCCTTTTGAGGTTTTGGCTTGTGGGTGTTAAGGAGTTTTGGATTAAAGCAACAGAATTTGAAATATATATATATTTTTTCAAAAAGTAGTTGTGTACTTCAATGGTGGAGCTTCAGTCCTGTCCTAGCTTGGTCAATGATTCTGCATTATGTGGTATTGAGCAAGAAGTGAAAGGAGAGAGTGTGAATATTGTTGCAGAGATTTCAGCTGAGCTACAGAGGGAAAGACAGAAGAATGCAGAGCTTATAGAGAGGATATCAATACTTGAAGCTCAAATACTAAAGAGAGATAACAACTCTCTACTCTCAAATGGACAAGTACGATTGCCTGCTTCATATTTGTTTTTTTATCCCCTCAGTTTCTTAAAATGTATTTAACTCTTTGGTTGCTCTGATAATGATTCAGTTTCAGCATCTAGATACGGTATTAATCATTTTTGTTTTTGTTTTTTTTCTTGGGTTCTTATATGCAAATTATGGGTTCAATTTGATGATTGTCTTCATTATTTAGTGATGAATATCCTAATCTGAAAAAAGTTTATATTTACTTATTGGTAGTTTTTGAGTCTTTGCCGGATTAGCAAGAGCTGATATGGTTACCATAACCATGAGAACATAGGATAAAATGAAGCAAATAACCTATATTAATCAGCAAGCTATGGTTAGATAGAAGACATAATACTCTCAATTTATTTGTTCAATTAGAGGGATTAAAAGATTGAATGCCGCATTCATGAAAATAAGATCAGAGAAAATATAAGTAGGATGATCATAACACTCAGAAAATGAATGCAATTTTTGTTTTCACTCACTCTGGTAGAAAATAGTAAAACCGTTCCCACATTTTAAATACATGTGACACTAAATCATTTCAAATTTTTCTATACTGATGTCGGGCTATATGTGTAGTTTAGAAACTAGAAATAGCCGAATAACCACGTCCATGTACTGTGTCATCTCTGAAGACAATTTGGAAGTAGGTTACTCTTATATTTGTATTTTTCTGTTAGACACTAGCATTTATTTTCTATATATGCTCATAAACTACTCATAAACTGCAACACATCAGCCTGAAATTTCAAGGAATTATTAAAACACAATTTCTTGGAATAAGGCACAATTTCCACAATCTTTTGCATTGCTCATATTGGTCAACATCATTAATGTCAGTTCTTACGTGATCTCTTCCAGGGTAACTATCCCTGTGCAAAGAAAAGGATCTTCAAGAAATTCAAGAGCCAAAAGGCAGAATTTAGTAGCCAAAAAATTGAAGATGGAAACAGCAAAACCTTGCAGACAAAGCATGACACTCGATGCACGCCACCAAGAGAAACAAATCTAGAGAACTTCATAGTCAACTGGATGAGCATGGATGACTCCCAGTTTCTCCATCATGAGAAATTGAAAAATGGTGATTCTGTTGCTGATTGTGATAATACAGATGATAGTGATGATGAAGATGATGAATACGTTGATGATTATGACAGCGATATTGATAATAGAGATAAGGAAAAAGGAGAAAATGAAAAAAATTCTACTGAACTAGAACATCTTCCAGAAGAAGGTCTCGACAAGAAAATACAATTACCATACTTGGAAAGTTTCTCTAGTGGTCATGTCGAGCCAAAATATCCACTTGAGAGTCAAGAATTGAACAAGGATATTATAAAACATAGTTTAGCACATGATATAAAACCCATCAATAACAATAGGGAACTAAAAGAACATGATAGGAAAGAATCCAAATTGATTGGAGAGTATCAGGTGTCATTACAAATACCTACTCCGGGGAGAATGTCAATGCAGAAAAAGTCCCCAAAGGTTGCTTTCTGTCCAAAGGAAGTTAGGAGGATACTTGAATCAGAAGTGCTTCAATTGAAAAATGCTCAGTCTCACACCATTAGGAAAATCATAGTTTTTGCATCTCTTGGCATAAGGCATGGGTGTGAAGAGATGTATGAATTAGACTTCAATCATTTTAGCATTTTACAGAAGGGCGAGCCGTACGTGTCTTCAGAGAATCCCGGGGTAAACTAGTTAATTTCACACTCATTACTTAAATTAAATCTTGATACTAGTTTATTGACAAAGTTTCTATCATCGCTTACCATTATTTGCAGTATCATCATCTGTCTGCAGTTGTCTTTATTTTTATTTTATTTTCTTGTTCCAATTTCTTGTGTTCTTTAAGTCAAGCAATACAAAGAAATGAAGATATTAGTTGATCATTTTAGATAAAAAAAACACTTATAGATATGACTATCTAAAACCAAATCAAGTCCTAAACTCCTGTATTTCCAATGTCCAAAGACCTTCCTGTCTTCCAGATTGGAATAGACATATCTTTATTGTTATTGGACCAAATTAGTGTGCAGCCTCATGTTATGTGGTTTTGTATGGATATACATGATTCTTCTGACTAAATCTTCTTAGCTTTTATTTCTAGCTATTAAGGGAATTCCTTGGTTATACTAGTTCCAAATGTATCATTAAATATACTTGCTAGCTATAGCATGAGTGGATAACATATCATCTCTGCAATTTCTCATATCAAGAATACTGGTTTTATATCATGTGACAAATCCATAGGAAATTGAATAATGAATCCTTTGGATGTCAGTGGAGATTGGATGAGTCTTGTTCTTGTATCGGATGTGGAATGAGTTCACTATGTTTTATAGCATTTGAATTGGCTTATCATTCATAATGCTTACCTGAAACAAAGGCATTTTAGAATTATTAAAAATGAAACTCTATTTTTCTTAGTGACAATGTGTTAATGCCAACCTGTGTGCTGAAGCCTGAAGTGATGTATAATATGATTTGACCCCTTATGACATCAAAATGCCCATTCAACAACTGTTTTCTGCTCTGCATTAAGCTCAATTAGCTCTTAACCAATTAAAATCTATTCAGGAGCACGTTCTATATGAGAATCCTGGTGTCCGAAGGAAGGTCTTCTATCCTAACCGACAGAACCCGACATTATGTCCTGTTCAAATACTGGAAGAGGAGAAAGCTATGCGTCCATCCGATGCTAGCTGCCCATCATGCTTATTTCTGTGCATTAAGTATGGAGGAAGGACAAGAAATCTTCCCCAAAATGAGTGAGTACTGTTTCCATTAGCTTTTCATGCATTTGATCATACTTCCATGCTCTCATTTTTTTTTTATTTTTCCATTATCATAGAAAAACCTTGTTTTTGTATGTTTCCATATTACCTTTATATTGAAATGCTAATCTAAACAAAGCTGGGAGTCACTCAGTTATAAAAGGTTCTATTCCATTAAGAAAGTTGATCTTGCAGATTTTTAGGGATTGAAGTTTTTCTAATTGAATTGTTGCAGATATGTCAGGCAGCGCATGGGAAGAAACAAGCTGAAATCTTTTGGACCCGTTATGTGTCAAATGGTAACGCTTGTCCACGTTCGAAGTGGAAGTTTCTTCTTCAAGGCCTTGGGTATCACACTTTTGTTCATGGCTGGTTTTCCTGATGATCAGGTTCAGAAGGAAACCAAATACAGAAACTTGGACCTCCTTCAAAAGTATTACAGGTACATAACATTTCATGCTTGTTGGACAAGGATTATTAAAAGTTCGAACTGGCAGCATAGCATTCTTGTTGGCTAGCTCAATTGTGAGATTATCAATGTAATTCGATTTTTACAGTACTTCTATGCATTTGCTTGAGCCTTCATAATATTAACAATTCATACGAATAATGAAGTGGTAACATATAGTAAACAAGCCATTTTTATTGATCAAATGGGATTGACATACAAAAGAACTTCATTTGTTCTTAACAATACGTGAGAGATGTCTGAATTGGCTGTGAGTTTAAAACTTTTGTGGCTTGTTCTCCATTTTGTCACGACTCTTAGTATGCTTCTTGATCTTCTTATTTCAGGACAGATGACGATACTGAGGGGGAGGAATTATTTCTTTCGCATCCATTGGCTTGTGATACTGTAAGATCTCTCAATTTGTTGAGCTTCTTTTGATCTGCTATTGTCTTAATCTGTTCCCGTGTAAATCAAGAAACCTCAAGAAATTTATGTTGCCCGGTTCATAATCTACATTTTTGTTGCCCAATGAATTCGCTATAAATTGCTCCACGAGATTGAAGAATGGGTTGTTAATGACTGCTCCCCAAAACCATGACTAGTCTCTATTTTGAAAATTAATTGATTGCGTTCAAGCCTTGAGAGCACATCTAATTTCAATTGGCGATAGTTTCTGAGTGGTAGCTTCATGTTCTTGATATTTCAGGAGGCTTGTTCCAATCCTCATCAGCTAACTGGGAAGCGAATTCCAGCAAAATCAAAAGGCAAGAAACACACGAATCCAGTAATCAAGCCCCATAACTCGCAGAAACCCTCAATTCAACAGTCTAATCCATCAAGTTCTGCATTTACGACACAATTTGGGTTAATGGGGTATACCTCAATTCAAACTCATGCAACAGTTTCTAACCCCGTGGTCAGTAATACTGGTCATCATTGCATCTCCTACCGAAACCAAACTTCATATCCTATGTTTCCACCTCCACACCCTGCAAATTCGTTTGTGCCCATGCTGTATTGGCCACCCGCTAATGCATTTCCTCCTTGTCCTTACCCATCATCTTCGTATGGTTACCAGTCTTTTCCTTCTACTGGGAATTACACCCCTGTCCATCCACAGCCTTATTACAGTCATACTTTAATCCCAAAGGTGTCTGAAGTCCGGGAGACGAATGATGGAGCCTTGAAAAAATCTGACAGTGACTCGGTGAGTAGTTCAAGCAGTACAGAGCCAAAACAGGAAAGAACAAGCTTTGAGTAATGCAACTTCATGCATTTCTATGTCTCTTCTCAGCAACTAAGTTAATCTTGTAGCTGTGAGCTTGAATATCTTGTGTCAGTTTAATAAGGAATTGAGAAGTTTATGATGGCATTTGTAGAGCAAATTCATATGAAAGACATTCCCAATATCTTGTAAAAAATTAGATTGATCACGGTCATTAAAAAATGGGGAGGGTAGTACCCATGGGCAATGGGGAATGGGGAATGGGGAAAATTTATTATAGGAGAATGGGGATGGGGAATTAATATCCACCCCATTGCCCCCCATTGCCATTCCTAGGCATTTGTAGAGCAAATTCATATGAAAGACATTCCCAATATCTTGTAAAAAATTAGATTGATCACGGTTTCTTTGTTCTCTTTAATCCAAGTATAAAAGGTTAGTCATTGCCATTAACAAGGTGTGCTGATCACCAAAGGGAAGTACCCCAACTACAAATGTGCAAGACTGCAATGAGGCAAAAGGGTATGCTCAGGTTCAGATGTCATGTGTAGAGAGGTTGGTGGGTGTGGCTCCTATGGACTTATCCTATCAGACTGAAACAGAAATGGTCCAAAGCCATAGTTCCAATGGATTGGGTAAGTCTTCTTCCCATAATGTGATCTCTATGCCTTGGAGTGGTTTATTTAAACCTAAGATTGCTAAGAAGAAAGTAGTTAAAAGCCTCAAGAGATACTCGGAGGGTTATGAGAACAATCAATTTCAAATCCCATTGGAAATCTTTAAAATTGGGTTTAAGTAATGGGAACATGCTCTTGTGGGTTATTTTATTGATAGAAAATTGTCTATTTTATTGATAGAAAATTGTCTTTCTTCCAAGTGAAGACTTGGGCCTACAAGTTGTGGAGGGAAAATGTTGAAGAGGTTGTAACCTTAGTAATGGCTACTTTGTATTCAAGATTAAAAATAAAGAAACTTTAAAGGCCATTCTTGATGAGGGGTATTATTATATTGGGAGCAAATTGATTGTTATCAAAAAATGGCACCCTGGTATGAACCCTTGCTAAAAATGTCTTCTCAAGTGTGCCAATATGGGTAAAATTTTTCAATGTGCAGCTTGAACTTTGGACTAAGGAGGGATTGAGTTACATAGCAAGTTTTATCGGTAATCCGTTGTACCTTGATGAATTTACTCAAAATCATAGCCGGTTAACATTTGCTAGAATTTATAATGAGATAGAAGCTACTAAAGAGATTCCACCCTCCTTTGTTGTAAACTTAGGATATGGAGAACTGTTCAAAATCAAAGTAGAAATTCCTTGGAAACCCCAAGTGTGTGGAGAATGCAAAATATTTGGTCATGCTACAAATTTGTGTCCAAGTAAACCGAAAACTCAAGCTCTTAGTAAACTCAAACAAGAGTGGAAGGCCAAAGAAGTGGCCGAGATGAAGGAGGGAGGCAAGCCAAGTGAAAGGATTGAAGTGAAAAAGAAAAAAAGGCAAGGATGTCGTTGATGCTCCTATGGGTAACTTTGTTCCTATACCTCCTCCATCTTCATTGTATGCATTTGATATTCTCAATACTTGTGTAGCCATTGAGGAGGTTTCTTTTCGTGCGAATTTTAAGAGCGTGCTTAATGCGAATTGCTCCTCTTTGAAAGTGAGTAACCCCTAAAAAAATATTCCGAATGAAGAGGCTTCAAAGGAAGAGAAAGAAATTGTAAGGGATGTAGGTAATATAAATGTGTTAGCCCCTAGACGATCTTCATGTTCCAAAGAAGTTCCTCAATCCCATTCGGATGGAACATTCATTGTTCCATGGACAAACCCATCTTCAAAAGTGCAAAACAAGAAAAAGTTCCTTGAAAGAATTGCTAATCTTAAATTTGCTCAAGAGGTTAGCCTCTCTATCAAGTCTAAGAATCAAGTTGTAAGACTCCTATGAAATTGTAGACGTGTTCGTTGATTGTTGCTCGGCCTAGTTTTTGGATTTTCTTTATATGTAAATTTACTTGTTAGATTTTTGTGTAGAAGCTAGGCATGTTTTTTTTTTTCTCTCCTCAAAGGGTGTGTTGTTTCTGGGTGTATAATGAGCCTCACTATAATATCTATTTTTTGGTATAAAACTTATGATATACCTACTATTCTAAAAAAAAAAAAAAAAAAAAGAAGAAAAAAAAAGGTGTGTTGATCACTTTCTATTTGCAAATAGAGGAACAAAACATATATATGAATGGACAAGATTTTACAGAATTTTTTGATAGGGCCCACTTCAAAAAAATTCCATTCTGTAACTGGTTTCCGTGTTAGTTTTGTCAGGAAATGGGGTGACTGTTATTCTCTCGGCACAACAGTCACTGTTGTACCCTCATATGGGCCCATTAAGGGACCCGCTTTGATAATCCAAATCGTTCACTTTTTAGAATATATCAAGTAGAACATATCTGTAAAAATTCAAATTGATCAGATATCATTAACCTTTTATCAGGTCACATTTTTTATGATGGCAGACACCAGTATACCTCAGATATCTGTTGTTGAAGCCTTTGGTTGATTCAAAATGAAGTCACTCTTTTGGAAAAGATGCTACAGTATCTTTCTTCTTTTTAATGGTGCAATGATGTTCAACTATCAAGTACCATAAATTTCTCAAAGTTAAAATCTAAAACAAGTAGTCAATATGCATGTTCAAACAATTCAAGCTAAACAACAAAGTTGTTTTCTTCCATACGCCAAATCATGATAATACCATAATTCATACACCCCAATCAAGTTCATATGGTAGGCCACGTCTATATATCCACCATCGTCCATTTGGGCTTAATCATCAAGTTTGAGTTAATGAATTATTGCAGAAGTCCCTCTCTCACAGTCTCTTCTGTCTCTTGCTCACAACTTCAAAGGGATCTCGCGTTTCAAAGCTCTTCTCCATCACACGATCCAACCAAACGCCCTATCCCAAGACTCATCTCCACCGCACGATTCGATCATTTTGACTGAATCAAGTGATAGAGAAGCTTGAAGTGGAAGATTTAGAAAGAGGATATGGCCCCACTCTATGCAACTCTTTATCTCTTTGTCTGGATTTCAACATATATAATTCTCTACCTACCAAAAGATATTGATTAATGCATAAATATGCATAAAGTCATATTTGCTTATGTAAGGGCATCTCCTTCACATGGGCATCTTCTCCTTCACATATCTAATTTCTTTGTTGTCATTTCTCTTACTTTGATGCAAGATGCGTCTTTTTTCATTTATTTCAATACAATATGGAGCCCTCACTATTAACATCATGAAAGAGAGTGCATTACAGGCATGAATCATCATCAACTTTCATCATTACAATTCAAGCTTTACACACAATCACCACCATCCTTAGATACATCCATGCCAACATTAACATCACAAGGAGAAAACTACAATGAAAACATTACATACTACCGACATTGTCACCACCATCTTCAACCCATTCAGCAACACTATTACATATCCAAAAAAAACTTAGAAAAGTGCTCATAATTTAAAATTTACGGATCAGATTCATTATAGGTGTGACCCTACAACAAGACCGCATATTTCAAATTTTGAACAATTTTCTGAATAGTTTTTCTGAATACATAACGCTTCTCCAAAAAGCAAACCCCCCATTTAGAAAAATAAAAATAAAAATAAAAATAAAAATAAATAACCATCTTATTTAGTCACTCTTCTTCACTCTCTTCGCATAATGAGAGTGAGACTTAGTGATTCACAAAGCTTCTTCATCTAGTGGTGCTTGTTGGCAACATTGCATTGCAATCTGATCTCACCCTGAGTGCCAGTGAGAGGGTTGTTCTCAGACAGAATAGTGATGGCTCTTCCAAACTCCTTGAAGAAGTAGTCTTGGCTCTTTGCCATTTTCTTCACGTAAGGCTTAGTCCTCTTGTCTGTGGCTAGTTGGTGATCCACTATCAACAACCCTTTGTTGTCCAATATGTTTCTGTAGTAGTTGTTGTCTAGTACCATGGGTGTGCCCCTGTCATTCCTCACATATTGGACTGCTTTCGGGTCGGGGATCGAGTCCGGGCACTTGTGGAGCATGTGCTCAACATGGTCAGGGTTAAGCACAGGGTCCACCTCTGGGTACAATCGGTGAACCAATTTGACACAGTGGGTTCGACCCACACTGTGAGCACCTATTGAGAGCAACAAGAGTAAAATCACATAACTTTAGGCACGCCTGCCTGATTGTCTATGCAATTGTCAATACACCCAATGCTTCTATAATTATGAGTATAGGAATATAAATGTGGACTGGACCTGGGGGGTCTACCACAGGCACGATACTGCTAAAGTGATTTGCTCATTTTATAAGTCTAATCGTCTATAATAAAATAAAAAAATTTAATTCGATAATCATTAACTTCTTAATTTTTATTTTATTTTTTTCTTCTAAAAAATGGACAACAAAAATGGTTTTGAAAATAAATTATCTATTTTTTAATTTTTTTTTCAAGACGAATGTAAAAGGAAATATGGCTACAATTATTAGATTAATCTGATTTTTTTCGTAGACAATCTACCCATAGAAACTTACAAATGAGCAGACTGAATTATCAAAGTTTGGTGAACTGGACAGGCCAATTTACATTGGACTATAAGCTCTGCTCTTCTAAAATTTATAGAGGGCTGGTCTCCCATTACTGTTTCAGCAATGGTTGGTGGACCGAAAATACATGACTCGAATGGCTCGAAACACCCAAATCGACGTCGTTTTACAGAATTCGGGCCATTCGAGTCACAGAATTCGGGCCACCAAACATTATTCTTACTGTTTGAACTGAGCAGAGGAGTTCCAAAAATTGAGATAACGACATTTCAGTTATACCGACTAGGCATGTGAGTGCATAAACAACTGTGCCTTTGTTTGTCACAAAATGCTGAGGGGTCGCAATCTTGACTATTGAATTACTTGATCGAGTTCAAACCCAAGCTTGAATTACTTGATAAACCGATCTCTAATTTACATATGTAAATATAATATTAACTAATAATGTCTTCAAATTATACAGATTCGTTATATTTACATATTTTCTTTTTGAAAGTATTTCACTTTGCTTGGTTAGAGTTTTCAAAACCATTTTTTAAAAAATTTTACTTTCTTATTTTCCGTATTTTTTTGTTTTTACTAATTTTTTTTTAATATTTTGAGCAATTTTTTTAATTTTTAGACATACCTAACATAAATATACTTAAAAAGTAAAAAATTTGTGAAAAAAACCTTTTAAAAATTTACTAAATACCAAAAATACGCAATCTTGACTATTGAATTACTTGATCGAGTTCAAACCCAAGCTTGAATTACTTGATAAACCGATCTCTAATTTACATATGTAAATATAATATTAACTAATAATGTCTTCAAATTATACAGATTCGTTATATTTAGATATTTTCTTTCTGAAAGTATTTCACTTTGCTTGGTTAGAGTTTTCTAAAAATATTTTTAAAAAAATTCTACTTTCTTGTTTTTCGTATTTTTTTATTTTTACTGAAATTTTTTTAATATTTTAAGCATTTTTAAAAATTTTTAGACATACATTAACATAAATATACCTAAAAATAAAAAATTTGTGATTTTTTTTTTTAAAAATTCACTAAATAACCAAAATTCAAAAAAAAATTACAAGAATTCAATACATTATTTATATTTTTATGTATTTATTACTTTTTAAAATATTTTTTCATAAATTTTTTACTTTAGATACGGTGCATCTAAAAAAATAAAAAAAAAAAGTTTAAAATTTTAAAAATATTCATTAAAAACAAAAAAAACACGAAAACCAAAAAACTCAATTTTCAAAAAACTTAATCCAAAAAACTTAAACCAAACACATTGTGATATTGTAGGCTTTTAGGTCTCGTTTGGCAAGTGATTTTTTTAAGCAAAAAAGTCAAAAAGTCACTAAAAAAATAAAAAAAACCAACAATCTATACTAAAAGTCAAAGATTCTATTTTCTTTCTACTTTTTGCACATCTTTTCGTAAAAAGTCAAAAAATCATCCCAAACATACTAGTTTTTTTTAGTTCATATTTTAACCAAATAGTCAAAAAGTTACTAAATTAACCTGTTCCCAAACGAGGCCTTAGTGTATTAAAATTTCGTGTTTTACATATAGGTCGTAATAGGTAGATTTATTGTCCAATAGATTATACGATAATTAATGATATTTTTCATTAAATACTATTAAAAAACATCACTACTTGTTAATTTTTATCAACAGTTTGAAAATTTTGTTATAAAAAATGTCACTAATTACAAATTTTAGCGACAATTTAAAAAATTATCACCAAAAAAATCACTAATTTTCAACTTTCAGCACAAAAAACGTAACTAATTATATGTCTTAGCGACAATTTATAAAAATTGTGACAAAAAAGTTATCAATTATTAATTTTTAGCGACATGTAAAAAAATCATAAAAGGTTATTTTTAGAAATGATTTTATTAAGATTTGTTTTCAATAGGGGTTGATAGAAATTAATTCTAATGAGCTATTGGTGGTTGAGTACGTGTATGGTGGTACAATAATATGATGAGAGATGTGGTATACCTAGCAAGGCAACAACTCCGGGGGTGTCAATACCAATAGATCCAAACCTCTCTAGTACAACTGACATGCTCTCATTGTGATCTGGTAGGTATTGCTCTAGCACTTCTGCTCTGCTCTTCCTCCCATCTCTTCTTCCGGTCTTTAGAGGGATGTAAGGCCCTCCAAGCTGTGTAAAGCAAGTGTCGAAACATGATCAAAATTAGTATATGCTTCCAAATTGAGTAAAATCCTGCAACAACTCATTACATCCTGTTTGGATAGGGTGATTTAGAGAAAAAATAAAAGGAAACAGAGTCTCTCCTCCCAAATCCCCCTGTTTTGTTAGCTTAATAAAGGATAAAACAGAGAAATGCGGAGTTTTCTCTTGAAACCCACTACAATTGGTGTAGATCTATTGATCTAGTGTATATATACACATGCAAAGAACAAATTAAGATGAACAATGTACCTGCATTTCAGATCTATTATAAAGAACAGTTTGTGAGAAAAACACAGAAAATCTAGAGAACCCAGTAAGGGTATGAGGTGAAAATTGAAATATAAACTAAATATATTAAAGAAATTGAGTTACCGAAACAATGCCATCTCTACCAGACAAAACAAGGATATCTGCACAAGAAACAACTCCAGGGCACTCTCTCTCCACAGCTTCTTTGATGGTGTCAAGGTACCTAAAGTTCCTCAGTCCAAAGCTCCTGTCAGTTTCCTTCTCAGATAAGCTCCTTCTTGTTGAGTCCAGCAGTAGTGAAGCATCACATGACTACATATAAACACACCCAAAAGCATCTATATATATATCACATAAAGAGAGAGAGAGAGAGAAAAGAGTTGAGAGAGTGAATTATATGTGTGTATATGTACCTGAACAGCACAGTCATGGAAGATGTTTCTGAGCCAAGAGAAAGCAGTGTTCTTGTGGCGCTTGTAGAGAAGCTTAACTTGTTCTTTGATGATGTCTTCAGCTTGAGGACATGAATCTTTGTAGAAGTTCATAACAAGACCTGCTGGGTCATTAGCTTCTTCATTTTCTGCAAAAGCTGATGTTACTAGTGAGAAAGAAAAGATGGCAAAGAAAAAGAAGAGAGCTTTGGAACCCATTCTTGATTTAGGAGACCTTGCTTTTGGATAAGTTGTGGCTGGCTAGCTGCTGCTTAAATAATGCAAAGAAGGATTAAACTACAAAAAAATAATAGAGACAACCTCCATAAATTGGAGTTATGACTCTGATGCCATTTAACTTTTTTTTTTTTTTTATTTTTTACCTTTTCTTATATGGGGAATTATAACCTATTGGAACGGAGAAAAAAATTACAAAAAAATATTGGGATGCAATTCATTCTGTGGTAGAGTGTAGGTGAAAAGTTGTGGGGGTTCAAGTGTTACTAGCACCCCTTTATATTTGTGTAAATAAAAAAATTATGTCTCATTGGGATGTAATTTCCCTTTCTTAGATATATAAAGTGTCTCATGAGCATTGTTTAACCAAAAGCCTAAATTACCGAGACATTGTAATTAAATGCTGATATTTATTCTTGGTTTGGTCCCGCAATAATAAGATTAAATATACATCATTGATTTAGACTTTTGAGCAAATTTTGGTAATTTTTCTAGGTTTGTAGAGTTTTTGTTGTTTAACAACGGGATTTATATAAAAAATGGTAAAAAAAGTTTAAAAAATATATTGAATTTAGTAAAAAGAGTCTAGTGTTTCTCATGACCAAACGACTATTATTAGGAAGAACCTATATGTAATGCTTATACAAACTGAACTTTTCTTACTAACTGATATGATACTTATCATGCTATTGAAGTGAGTCTTGTTTTATTGCTACATAACACATCAATTACTAAAAATACACAAATAAATTAAGGTTTTATGACCAAATCTAAGGATAAAATCACTTTTTAAAGATGAAATATCTTAGTTACCAAATGTATTATTGTTGTATTTTTAGATATAAAATTAGACATTTAATAATAAATTACTATCATTTGGAACTATTTGTTTGTCTCAAATGGTAATCTTTTGGGAAGAAATTGTGTCGTCTTTAAAATGCATTGATTTATTTACAACATTTTCAAAATCTTATCGTTAAAGATATATACATATATATATTTTTTAATTTTTTGGGATGGTCTTTTTTGGATGATTTACATGACGACACAAATTGATTTCCTATTTTTTTTCAACTGAATTTTCACTTTTAAATATGAAATGTTTTAGTTCCTAAATATGTCATATATTGTAGTGATAATTTATACAATTTGTTAGTTTTTATAATAATAAATATATTTGTATATTTGTTTGCAATTGTAGCATTATTGCTTAGAAGGCCCAAATGTCATTTAAAAATCTCAACTTTGGTTAGTTGTAGGGTATTTATGAGATGGCTCTCTATTTGAATGTGATTGATCATGTAGTAAGAATCATTATATTTATATTATTATTTTTTCTAATAATATGAGGCGGTAATTGATGATTGGCGTGAGATACCATGATAATGCTATTTCCAATTACCAAAGAAATTTTGCCTACTAACATCATATTATTTGTTTTTATTGTTTTTTTATTGATAAAGAATCAATTATGAGCGTCCATCCACATAGGTGATGATACAGAGGGTGATAAAAACAAGTGACACAATTTTTTTTATTGGAATTTGGTTTTGTTGATTAACACATAGTGTGAAGTTTGTGATCAAATTTTAAATTTATGTCAAATAAAAAATAAGATTTTAAATTTGTAAAGGAATTTAAAATTTTAAAATTTATTATATGGAAATCATGATATTGCAAAGTAGGGTAGGGGACTTGGAATTTCCAACATCTCGCAAATGAGAATTGGAGTGATGCTTGTTGGGATTTATACCACATCACACCGACACGAACGGAAGCACACACATCAAAGAGAAAAAACAATCACACTGATTTACGTGATTCGGCCCAATTATTTATATTCATGGGAGAGAGAATTTTCATTATAAATAAAATAGAGAATACATATAAGATGGTCAAAATACTCAAAACTTACACCACCACCTGAACCCAATACTCAAAGATAGTTGAGCCCTTACTCACTTGGTACCCACGATATTTTTTCTCTCACCCCTTACATCTTTATTTTTCTTCCCTTCACTACTCTCTCAATCTCTCTCTCTCTCTCTCTCTCTCTCAAATAAACCTTATAGTCCACATGACTATTTGTAATAGTCTATCATTGAGAATCCTAATTTCATACAATTAGGTAATCAAATCCTACACATATTAGGTTTCCTAGTAAATTTTGGACTTTACTATCCTAACCCAAATATATGTATAAACTAACCTAATAACTGCTTGGGACCTATGTTTATCACATGAGTGGACTAATCCTAACAATCACCCCTTTCATTCATGTGGGGTAAATGTTATGTGCATCCTCTAATCTGAATGTCCTAGTTTGCGTGATACACTCTACTTTTACCTAGAAGATGTCACATCCCTTTGAACCGAGTACCCATGTTATTTGCATCTCACGCAATAGTGCTCAAATGTGTCCTTCATGGCTTTCTTTGTCCTCATGCTCAAGCCGATGAGATCGGCCGCACCTTCTTAAGGTGTGTCCACAACAACGAACCAAAATCTTTGTTAAGTTTTTGTTATAGGCAATCCTGTTTAACAAAACTCATTTTCAGTTGTAATTTTATTCGCTCTTATGTTTCAGTGAAGATGTGATTGTATAGATGCAAATCCAACCTGAATTGTGCCTATGTCAAGGAGTTTGTGATCTTGAGGCTTTCATGTTTGTCACTTCTGATTGTGTATGGCGATCGAGCTGCCCGGTCAACTTGCAGGGGTCTAAAGGGTAGCGCCCCATGGCAAGTCGAGGGCAACGCCTAGGTGAGGTCGAGGGACAATGCCCCCAAAGCTAAGTGGCTTGATTGCTTGAGTGGTCATTTGTGCACTTGAGCAGTGAATGACATCATCCAGTACTTTTGCAGAACGCCTGAACTTCTAAGAAGAAAGTTTCACCGCTCGAACACTAAAAGTTACACTCAAGTGGTCAGTTTATATGTTTTGCACCACCTTTACTCACACTGCTCGAGCAGTGAAATGTGCGTTCAAGCAGTCTTCGCGATTCAATTTACTACAAAGTGCGCAGTTTGATATTTTTAGGGTTGAAAGCGTTTAGAACCTTAGAGAGAAAGAAAATAAAAAGAGTTTTCTATTAGAGACTATTTTATATGAGTTTCCTTAGTGTATAAAAGGTGATCGATTGATCAATGAACTTCAGCTTGTCAAACATCAAGGGTTGTTCTTATTATTTCGTTCACAAAAGAGAAAGGTATTCTTCGGTGGATTCTAACGAACTTAGGCCTGAAATTTTGGTGGATTCCAGAGTGACTTATAGTCGTGGATTTGACATCGGCATTATAGATTTAATGTTGGGCAAGACAATTCTAAGGTGAAGACGGTGATGGAAAAAGCACATAGGGGTCGGTTTAATTTGAACGTGGATTTGTTAGGTAATTGAGAGTACACTTATGCAATTCCTTTTTGTCTTCTTAGTGGATTGTTTTGTAACTTTGGCCTATGATTTTTTTTTTCTCACAATTGGAGGTGCTCCAATTATGATTTTTTTTACGTTAAATCGTTCTGTCGATTTGTTTTGATTGTTTTATTGGGATTGTTATTTATTGTTTAAATTGGAATATAATCACGAATCAATATCTCAGGGATTTTAGAATTTTCAACCTTCATAGAAAAAGACATGCATCCTCCCTCAGTGTACACCTTCTTGTTGTGAAACCATCTCAATTTCTATACCTGAAGCTTCATTCTATGAATACCGAACAACTTGTCGTCTTCCTTTTGCTGGCCGCCAAATATCCTTATAACTATTGCTCACCACTGTTTACCTACAACTCATATTACTCGTCTGATGCTTAATGGTAGCTCCTCTCTTGTCATATCTTACTCCACGAGCATGTACAAGTTGCCAACCAACTGCCCATCAGTGATTGGTCTTCTATCATTGATTAAACCAGATTGCTCCTAGATCACCTAGATCACAAGCAATCACCTTTGCTTGTCCTTGAATCTGTTTAAACATTTTAAACTTGTTCAGAATTTGAAAATTCTAACTGTACCAATGAATCCGCAACAACTAAAAATCTTGGAAACTACGTTCACCTTCAATTTTGTATTATATGTACACATTGATGTAACATAAATATTTTAAACTGTTGATTTTATGATTTTTGTCACACAAGATCATAACCCTTTGACAAGACAATTTGTGCACTCCACTGTGCACTGTGTTCTAATTAATCGATGCCTCCACTACGTTGCTGCATTCATTGGATTTTGATTTTTTTTCTATACCACCACAATTTCTTTCTCTTCTGTGCAAGTCCTCCTTATGTGGTAATCGCACCCTCTGCCAACCGGATCTAGGATTGACAACCTTAAGCTCTGATACTACTTGTTGGGATTTGTATCACATCCCATTGATGAGAATTGAATCACATCCACACACATATCAAGGAGAAAATCAATCACACATATTTGACGCGGTTCGGCCCAAATTGCCTATATCCATGAGATAGAGAATTTCCACTATGAATAAAATAGAGAATACATGAGAAATGACCAAAATACTCAAAACTTACACCATTACCTGAACCCCATACTCAAGGGTAGTTGAGCCCTTGCTCACTTGGTGCCCACGATTTTTTTTCTCTCACCTTTTATATCTTCGTTTTTTTTCCCTCACTACTCTCTTAATCTCTTTGTCAGAGAAACTTTATAGTCCACATGACTATTTATAATAATCTATCCATGAGAATTCTAGTTTCATACAATTAGATAACCAAATCCTATATATATTAGGTTTCCTAATAAATTTCGGACTCTACTATCTTAACCTAAATATATGTATAAATAAACCTAATAATTATATGAGACCCACCTTTATTATAAGAGTGCACTAATCCTAACAATGCCATCAAAGTCAAAAGTCATTGACATTTGTGAAAGGATTATGGAGGCAAAACTAAGCGTGAAAAAAGCGAAAAATTCTAGCTCATATTATTCATCTTTTTATTTTTACTTTCTTTCACACCACAAATCAGGAAATGAATCTAAGATTTAAATATAATATATAAAAT